TTAGCAGTCTATTATAAGAAACAAATTGTAAATGGCTTAACATGATATTCCTTTATCTATACTAGCAGACCAATTAGAAACGACGTTTCGTAAAATAAACAATATGTGAAAATTAAATGGTGGGCTATTTTAATCAGAGCCTTTAACTTAAATATTCACGTTTTCATGTTACAATAATTGTAATGATATTTTCACATTTATGTTATTTCACGTAATTACTAATAACGTGTAATTTATCAATAAAGTTATTTCCCTATAGACATTGCGTGTATATTTAAATGCAATTGCAAAACCTTTTATTTGTTTTTTTAAAAGGTTTATCAAACTATACGAAGGGTTGTTCAAAAAGTTTGTGGACTGCGGCTCTACTCTTCATATCTTTTAATTTGTGTACATGATTTTGCAAGAGACAAATAATGGAGCATGTCCTTAATATATAATGAAGAAACAATACAATATGTTTACAAACAACATTTTCGTGATAATTACATGTGTAAATAACTAGGGGTACACGACCAGGCACACGTTCAAAATACAACAAAATGACGTTCGTGACGTTGCAATATAAATGGAAAATATAACCAGTGTCAATGTTGTTTTTGAAAGTACTATCTCGAGTATTAAATGTCTCCAGATTATGCAACTGTACCTAGTTTTCTCTTTGTAATGATAAAACGAGAAACAAAACGCCCATCTTTTCGCTCCCTCCTCAGCATAAAAGTCCAAAAGCCGACCGCAATTTTTGAGTAATCTCGACACTTAACGAAGTTAATTAAATTGGTGATTTATAGCATCAATTTAAAAAAAAGCTATCGAATATGACTATTTACAGTAAAGGAAAATATTTTATCAACTGACAATTATTCTCTGTAGTACATGTACTAATACAGGCAAGCATTTATTATCAAACAGATCAGGGAAAATACATGTAATACAAGTACAAACTATGTATTGTTATTACATTTATTAATTGGAAAAACGCATATATCCTGATAAATAATAAAAATAAAACTTTGTCTAATTGAATTAAATTGTTTGGTCAGAATTGAATGTGTAGACCGATTCATTGATTAAACATGATAGACAGCTCACAAACTGTTAATACTGCCTATCCTTCCCGTAGCGCTATCACGTTAATAGCGGCCTGGCAATTTACCGCTTTTTCCCTTGCCCCTTTCTGTCTTTGATCTTGTATTCGCCGTCTTTTAACCGCTGGCGTCTACTGAAGCCATCCCATGTGTAGCTGAATGAGTATCTTCAATGTGTTGGCAAACCTTACCGATATTTCGAATTTCTCGTTTTTAAACGGGCGTAATATTTCACTTTTTCGCTAGTGTCTAGTGCTGCATAAAAATTGTTTGTAAGCCATTTAAAACGTCCAAATGACGTCAAATTTCCGATATGAGCCATTCATATATTTATTAATGTTTACCTGCATTTTCATTCAGAAATGAGTGTTCAATTTAATTAAACATTAGTTTATATTTATGCTTTGTAGTGCGCCGATGTTGCAATGAACATAGTTGGTGAAGGAAATAAAATAGTACGATAAAACTAAAAGTCACTTTTAGAAGTAAAGACACCCTTTTGATACGTATCAACCAATTTTGTTTTTATAATTTAAGTACAAAATGACAGAAGAAGTCCACGAACGTTTTGAACATATATCGAATGCTCAATATAATATGATTCATAAGACTGCTTTAAAATGTATTTATAGTCATCGTTTGTCATTGTATCTGGTAAAATGAATGAAATGTTTTATTTCTACTTAAATATCACGATTTAACTTGGAAAATGTAAATCGATGTGAAACGGATCTGCCATTGATGTAATGCTTATTATATCACGCTATCGTCCAACATTGTTTCTACATTTAATGCTATCTAATTTGTTTTTCTTTCTTTTTTGTCATTGTAGAGGCACAACCACTGTCCAAAGATCTCTTCACTTTGATGACATGCGTATGAAAAGTTCGATCACGTAATTAATGCTGTTGAAAGTAATCAATCAAATAACGCACTTTTAGTTTAATTATTTTTTAGCAGTTGCCAAACAAATACATGGCCTTTAACTTTGTAAAGTCTTCCTGATAAAGTATTGTGTATTAAGCATATTGCTGAAATATGACAACATTATATCAAAACTATTGAGCAAGTCCTACTAAAATAGGCCCTGACTTTTTAAGCTGAATTTTGAATTTTTGCATGTACTCGTAAATAGACTGTAACTCAAATATCAAAACAATGCCTGCAGGTTTGGCTGTAGATGTAATACTACTAAGCTGACATGACTGTCGTGTTTAAGAAATGGAAGAGGCTTTAGTTATTCATGCAATGAATACTTCTATTAAATAAGAGTATTGTGAAGATTTATACTTATTTTATAAACCATAAACCGTTAGTATGAATAGTAGTGATGTTTCAAACGATTGCAATACGTTCAGACATGATGTGCTTACATTATAGGCATATAAAACATACTTAGAATTATAAATGTCAAAGTTTCTTCGAAAGCGGCATTTAACAATTGAGATAAAGTTACGTGTATTGATAGAATTACAAATGCAATGATACTTTCCTCTTGACGCAGTTATTATTCCTACATAAATCTAAATTGTTTGAAATGTAGTTTAACATCAAATAATATTCGTGAATTACAACCAGACATCAAACAAATGTAATTTTATACATTTCTAATTTCCCGTTTCTTTGAAATATATATCAAGCATTACGTAAATTGCATACTTGGGATAATGTTTCGTATTTGAAGTAATACAAATTCGAACAAACATTATATTTCATTACATAAATAAGGTAAATGCAATGTTAGACGAAAAAACTCATGTTCGGCATAGTATATTTATATGTATTTTTGGCAGATTTATTATAACTGGACTAAACTTGAATCAGTTAGATTTAACCGGTTCAAATATAAATCAAATCAGTATAAGATCATAGATTCATATCATGCAATTATGATCATAATTATAATTGGAACATACATCTATGATCGCCACTGGTGATGCTATCAACTATAATACTGATCACTGCTTAACACTGTGTCGAGATTTATTACCATCAGTGCACACATGCCGTTATCAAAATTATTATCCACGGCATACTGGGCTCATATTTATGATAACCGGTTTATACTTGGTAAATATTTCATAATTCATCGGTATATACATTATGTGATTAAATCTATAATCACCGGTATCTTGAGTGATTAACTCCATGATAACTGATACATACTGGGATCTAGTATGACGACAGGTATGCCCTAAGTTTATCATAAATTCTGCAATGAAATTCATATGATCCCTTGCACATAATTAGATAAAATATATGATCACCTCTGCATCGCCGAGAGATATTGAAATCAGGCCAAGACCATTTAATAATGATATGCTTTATTCTTTACCATGAACGGAAACATGTTATTTCTTTCATTTCCTAAATTTATAAATCGTTTTCTTTGTAGTTCGTTTAAATAACAATTTACACCTGTCATAACACCTCAAATAATACCCAATATATAATTGCACTTCTTTTATTTACCTCATTCATAAAAGTTTATTTTGTCTTTGTGATAATGCCTTTCAGTGGTATATCGTTCATCCATTGCAATCTTAATACAACTTAATGGTATTTACTTATCTTGCAGGAAATCAAGAAATATTAAGATTCTTCATAAGTCTTCATTAATCGTTTTTGCTGACTAAATGAATAAAACTTAAAGGAATATCTTAAAGCGTCATCTTAACGGTTACCGTAAAGTTATTACTGCAATAGGAGTTTTTAAATTTTGTTCAAGATACTACAGTAAATAAATGACTTTTGCAAGACTGTATTAGGCAATATCCATATTTGAATTCAATCCCCAAATTGTAAATATTATTATAACTATTACAAAATGTAAGGTTTCTTCTTGTTCGGCGCTGAGTGACTTCAAAACGTGTCATTTTGTCCGGTGTCAGATGCTGCGTTCCGGGGATGTTTCCATTCTTGTTTGTCTTTACTTGCAAGTTTTGTAAAAAAATGAATGCTTGTACATAATTTATCAGTTGTTACATTAGTTGTTACACATAATTGAAAGTTCATAATTTAAATACATCTGAATAGAATTTACATGATGGCAACATCCAGTTGTTAGATAGATAAGCTTTTTAAAATAGTCAATCATAAACATTGGAAAGGATTTTAAAATATGGTTTTACCTTACGCACAGAAAGACGCAATCAAAATAAATAAGCATGAGTGATAATTGATCGAAAATATACTAATTGCGATAATAAGCACAATTGACAAAATCTGTTATATTGGTATATGTGGCAAGAACAAAGTAAGGCATAGCTGTCGCTTGATTGATTCACGTAATGCTTACGTAATTTAATTTGTATGGTCACCAACTAAATGTGGAACAACAGGTTTTTCGGTATGAAAAGAAATCTTTATGTATGTATACATTCGATGCTTACTTAATTTTATTCCGTATTGTTTTCTTTCAATTATCTTATGGCTATTGCACCGCAACGTGATGTACTCACCTTAACGTTATTTCTTTTCTTTTCTTTTGTTTTGAAATTATTCCGTCAAGTATTTTTTCCTTGTTTTTTTGTGTGTATGTGTGTGTTATTGTTTTTATATTTTTTGTGTTTTTTTTTTTGTTCGTGAAAATTCAAAAGACGATGTTTCTTATATATACATTTAAATGACATGGCAACAACTGCATCAAATTTCTTTCAACCATTTTAAATGCTTTTTATTCAAGCAAATATACATTCTAAATGAAATGTATTATAATTCAAATCCTGATTACTCTTCACTCATATTGAAGATATATATGTTTTAATCTATGATATGTAAATCGTGTAAATGATATTCTTAATCTATGATACCCTGAATCTATGATAACTTTAGCAAATATTACACCAATAAGGTAATGCTAAATTTTTCTAGTGTTTAGCGGCAATGAAGTGCAAAGAAAATAAGCCCGAACATATTTATTTGTTGTTTATTAAAATATTTTTACATAAGACCCGTGAGCATCCATTTTTTTAACTTATTTTATTTTCTAAGAAATTGTTTTATTTGTATGCCATTAAAGCCGTAGCAAAATACACGAACTATGTATGTTACGCAAAATCAGTTATTCATTTATGAAATATACGTTCAAATGAAGCCGATATTCAAAAAGATAGCTATGATTTAATGAGCAGAAAGTCTTGTTTTATGCCAATATTATGACAGCCTTTTATTTTCTATAGAAATAAAATCGTCCTCTTGATCGGCTTCCACCACTTCCATACCTGCCCCTCTTTGTCATAATGTCGTCTGCTGGAATGAAATGAAAATAAAATAATAGATTATGATTTAGCATGTTGCATTCATAAATGTGCATTGAAAGGCATGAACGCCAAATATTTGTGCAACTTTTTTTGAATTTCCGTATTGTTGCATATCATTTCCATTATAGCAATGTAAATATGAGCTTTTAAAATGGAGCAAAAATATTTTGCAATTCTGTACAAATTTTTCTTCTAGAATTTATCATGTTGATGAACTACGGTAGGTTCGTGAAAGATACATATCTGCATTTGATTATATTAGACCAAATTTTGTTTAATTGTTTTAATCAAAACATGTAATGATTGTTTTACCATGTTTATTTTGTTTTCTAAAACTGTGTATTGTATTGGAGAATTTTATTAAAAATAATATAAGGTAAGATTTATTACCATTACACCTAAGGTTGACATATTTTTGACCTCTTGAGCCTCCGATCGCATCTGCCCAAATTGATGCTGGACTTCTGTCACCAGACAAATGACCGGAACATGTACACAACACCTAAAATATGAAGAGTGTTTATAATATTCAGAGAATCGGCAAACGCATAAACAAAAATCACATTTAAACGTGGCCGGAATATACGACACCTGTTCTATAATTCCAAAGTTCGAAGCGGACTGGCATATGCACATGTTTCACGTGGCATGCTTTTTTAAAAACTTACAATACAAATAATGTTATGTTACTGACACTCTCTGGCGTTTGCCATTTTTCATTGGCATGTAATGTGAATGTAACTCTAAAATATGTTTTAATGCAAAACAAGTTGAATTTTTACTTTAAAAATAAAACAAAGATATGTTTTTTTACTTCCAAAGCTCGACTTGGAATAAAGTTTTATTATAATATCATTTAAAGTAAAGAAAGCAAAACTGAAAAGTTTAAAAGAAATGTGATAATAAATATGTAGCATGTGTTTTAAACATATGACTACTACATAAATATACATCGTACTATTACATATTAGCTTTTTCCCTTAAATTGAGTTTATACAAAGTCACTGTAAATAAGAATACACGTAGTTCATTTAAAACACATGCATTCATAGTCGTTGTATAGCTTGACTTTTAAAAGATATTGTACTAACAATATGTAAGCTTATGGTTGCCATTCCCCTACAAGACATATTTCATGGTATTATATTTATACCACTTCATATCAATATTGCAGAACAAAAACATATTAGTATGCACTTTCACAAAATTTAAATTTAAGGAAAATTGTTAACAACAAACGTTAAATATTACAAACAAAGTTACAACTTCTCAAATTGAATGTGGCATGTTATAAGAACTTTAGAAATAAGATGCAGAGAACCAAACAAATTCAGTTATAAATTAGAATACGCAGTAGATAATTTGAGCCGTGTCACGACAAAACCAACATAATGGGTTTGCGACCAGCATGGATCCAGACCAGCCTGCGCTTCCGCGCAGTCTGATCAGGATCCATGCTGTTTGCTTACAGACCCTATAACAAGTAATAACTGATTAACTAATTATTATTCTGTTACTTGAATACACACTAATATTGGCTAATAAATCTTAACTCTTAACAAAGGCATGAATGTTTAGCAACATAATATAAATTCTTAAGTGCGACTGTGAACACAGATTGTTAAACAAATTAAACTATAAATAAGTAATAGAAAGAGCACCGAAACACGAGGTTATCTGATTTGTACGAGGGGGCGTAGCCCCCGAGTATTAATCAGATTACCGAGTGTTTTGGTGTTCTTTCTCTTTTGTATCATAGTCAAACATAAAAATACGTTCCCTGTTGTCACAATATGAAACCCCGGCAAAAATGAACCAATGAACGAACATCTGAATATGATATTTCTGTCGCTTTCCCTTTCTCTGCCGTCACAATATGTAAACCCCAGCAAAAATGAGCCAATCAATGGGCATGCTCTGAAGTGCGGGTAACTAATACCCGCACTCCAGTTAACGCACTGTGCATGTATATGTATACGATTTAACCCTGACACATTTTCAACAGAAAGGTCTCCAAACTATGATACAATGGAAACAAAAGTGTCTTTATAAAAATATTCTCGGCCGAAGTAAACTGTTCACTATAAAATGTCATGAGATCTAAAGGCAGTGTAAAATGTTGTTGTTTTTCTTTTGGGGGTGGGGGGTGGGAGTATTGTTAAATATAACTTAAATATCTGAGCAATTGAGCTAGAAAGTTAAAGAACTACCCTGTACAGTTTACTTTAGAACTATCCTTTACATTTGCTTTTATAATGGCAAGAACTATCCTTTACATTTTCTTTTATAATTGCACGAACTATCTTTTACATTTCAGTTACAAATATCTTAGAATGAGAATGAACTATCCTTTACATTTTCTTTTATAATTGCAAGAACTATCCTTTACATTTAAGTTAAGAAATATCTTAGAATAAGAATGAACTATCCTTTACATTTTATTTTATAATTGCAATAACTATCTTTTACATTTCAGTTAAGAAATATCTTAGAATGAGAATGAACTATCCTTTACATTTTCTTTTATAATTGCAAGAACTATTCTTTACCTTTCAGTTAAGAAATATCTTAGAATGACAAGAACTATCCTTTACATTTTTTTTACAATGGCCAATGAGATTAACAGATTTCATTTTGAAATTTTGAAATCACCAATGAAAACTCTTCTTATTTTCAGTTCTTACTTATGAATTTCACAGGAAGTAAAACTGATTTAAGACCGGTCTCCGGCGGAAAAAATTGATTTAACATTAAGATGGGCGTGTTTAATTGCTGCTTAAATGTATAAAAATGTTACTGACCTTTACGTATGTTTGACTAGTTAGTTCTGGAGCGTCAAGAATAAGTTGTTCTGCAACCTGTCCTGGGGAACACGGTGGAATATCTTCTACTGGTTGACACATTCCATACCTTAAAAACATAAACATGTATACAATGTACGCGGGTCAGATTTCAACTAGTTTAATGTTATAATTTATCTTTTGCTTTATGCTACTGTGCCTTATCTTTAGGCACTAGACGAAGTTCACTTCAGCTAAAGACACAATTTTTATTGAGTTGAAGTGTACAATCATTTATATTAAGACTTATCTCGAAAATGTAGGTGTTTTATATGGCAAAAATCCAGAGGATATATAGATAAACATTGTATGTCTATAAAATTCTTGAAAAATGTTGAATACAACAATCAAATTTCACTGACGTTCTAAATTTCATATGCAGACAAAAATGATTATTGACATATTAATATTAAGTAACTTGCAATATAATCGCCATTTCTCCTCATTATTTTTCTCTTGCTGTAATGTTAAGCCACTTTTAAAGTAACTAACTGTTATATCTAAAACAGTTGCTTTGAGGTTAATGTATATATCTGCAGGTCTTTTATATGTCATGTTTTCAATATCGCTTAGTTTTTTCATTCCAATTAAATTACCAGAGTTTATGTGAATTTGGATCAACAGAAACTTTTATAATTTCACACGGTTTCCTTTAAACGAAGATATCCCTACGGAATATATTTTTTCTTTAAGAATGAAATAAAGTAATTGTTACTTTTAATAGCAAAAACGGTAAATCTTTGGAGTTTATGGAAGAATTTAAGATAAATTATATATCGTAGCTTTATATATTACGTTTTATTTGATGTATTTCTTCTTTCAAGAAACATAAGGTCCTAAATTGTTCATGTATATTAGAATTAAATTGCATTAGCATGTTTATGTGTTCCATTTTGAACTATTTCTCCAAATTATGGTTGCTATAAAACGATTTATAAAACGAAACTGGTAAAAAGAATTAATGTACGTCAAATGTTTTATTTCTACTTAAATATTATGATATAAATTCCCCAAGGAAACATTAAGAAACAGATTTGCCATTAAAGTAATGTTCGATCTATCACGGTGTATCTCATTTTTACATTTAATGCTTTTAACTTTCTTTTCATTGCAAAGATTTAAAATTGCATAATGCTCACTTCACATTGAAGTCATGCGTTAGAAACATTAGATTGCGTTATTAATGCGTTATTAATGCGGTTTTAAGTTAATGGTCAAATTTCCCTTTCAGAATAAATATTTCTGAAAACCTTTGTCTTTCTGAAAACAAAATTATTTCGTAGATGGCCCTTCATTTAATATACTAGAAGAAAATACAGAGAAATGGTACCACAAAAGATGTTGCAGCTAGGTTTGATTGATTGAAAAGTTACTTTTGGATATGACTCTTCATTGAATACATTAGATAAAAATAGAGAGAAACGGTACCTTTAAAGAACCCGAAAAATAGCAAAATTAATAATGCTGCAGCTAGAAATGGCTGAGTCTGTTGATTAACAGTAGTATGGTTCTAGCCGTAACCCCCCTGGCACCGGCGTATACAGGATTTTTAACATTTAAACATGAACTGACAATTTATCAAAGATGTTTCGTACGACGGTTATCATATATACTCTGATATTGACCTGTCATTTTTTTTACAAAAATGTTACATATTTGCCAACCAGAGAATCGCATTTTTAGCTATTTATAGATTATATAATAATATATGATAATTTAATACGACGGTACATACCATTTATCTTCCCCTGTTGTTAATGTCTGTGGTCCTGGCATTGAAGGACATTCAGTAGCACCGGGACATTTGCATTTGAACTGGATTTTAAATGTTGCTGGTCCTAAACCTAGTGAGGACAAATTCTCGATATCTGAGCATACTGCATTCTGTGGGCACATCTGTAACGGGAAATCCTGGAAAAAACATAAATTATATTATATTTACCGGAAACAAGTGATATGCCCGTGTTATAAACTTTGTTTAATTCTCACTGGCAATTTATTTTCTTGAGTGTTTATGAACGCACAAGTTTGATCAATGCTTATTAATTAAATAGAACACGGGTAATCCATCAGGCAGATGCCTGGATTATAGTGGCACGCATAATAGTAAACGTTTAAAGAAATTCATAATATGTTCATTATCTTTATTATCCATAAATCTTCATAACAATTCTATATTTTGCGTTTTTATCATGACATTGTGCTAAGTACGAACTGATGAATATACAAAATATATAATCATCTGAGGTGTTTTTCTCCATCAGTAAAGCCAGAAGTCGCCATACGACATTTCAAGTGTCGGTGTGCGTTACAATCAAGCAAACAAACAGTTCAAGCTTGATCTGGGTACATGGTACATGGTTTTTCAAGTAGATAAATTAATAGTATTTTTATTCTTATCCGAGTAGGTCTTGAACCCACAATTCGCAGGTTGGGAGACATCATCTCTTATCATAAGGTCACAGATTCATTTTTGTAAATAAGTAATGTTTTGTTCTATTTCGTGATTTGTAAAATCATGAAATTTTGTAAAGACATTGTAACCTTTCAATTCCACTACAACTCAAGTGTTCTTTCATGCCTAATAACATAAAATATTTATCTCAATAGCAAATGTCATAAATAAAACTATTACGATTAAGTTAAGAACATGCCTTGACTTAAATCTTATCCTTTCTGATATTTAGATTATTCCCGGATAGATTATTTTATAGTATTATATTTAAGATTTATTCATAAATGAGTTTTATTGGCATATTTATTACGCTATGTAAAGTATATATGTTTTTATCTTAGTGGAAATGTTCAGATACCTTCTACAAGTAAAGAACCTTTGTTTTCTTCTATATCAACTGTGCAAGTAATATTTTATTTACTTTTTTTTCTAGATTTTCCGGAATTGCAGGAATACAATTTATTAATATTAAACAAATATTTCATTATGTCTTTAGACATATTTGATTTACAAATTGTGATTGTGTCTGCTTTGCACGAGTCTCGGTTAACCCTAAGATATCTATTTTATTACCATTGTTACTCATTTTTTTCAATATAGAATACTTATTTTTTTCAAAACTTTACATAAATTGTTTATGATTATTTCAATATCAATTTTCACAAACACATTTAAATCCATAAACAATAATTTATTATGAATTCATTAAAATAGTCTAAAAGTGAGTCAGAAGAATGCAGATAGTTCCTTGCCTAAAAGAATAAATGACGTTTCACTAGTTGAGCTAATAACATTTAAGTAGAACTTTACGGCCCTTCAGACCAATAAATCTTTATTAAAAACACTATCAGTTCCCATAGTAACAATTTGGTGACAAAATCGTCCTAATGCCAAACGCTGGATGTCACCCACCATTAGGGAAAAAACGAGAGCATCAAACTCTATAAATCATAGCACTGAATGGCGAAAAAAATGGCTACGTTAAATTGATTAGAAACTAAATCATATTTATGAGGTATGCGCCGGCATAAGTGAAACGCCTTTGTGAATTCATTGTCAATAATGGATGATCACGTTTTATTGATGCTCGTTGAATTGTCTTGTTTGTCACAATTTGTTACATGGCCGTAGGAGAATAATGTTCATTGTTGGCGTCGGATGAAAAAAAAAAGTTTCAGGTTTCAAAATTTAATGATATTGCCCGCTTGAAAATGAGCAAATTTACAATGATGAACTGTTATCTTTATCATGCTTCTTTTTTTTTTTTGGGGGGGGGGGTGCGGGCGGGGGTGGAACTTGTGGGGAATAATTAGATAGCATCTCTAAGAAGCAACCAGACATTCTTTAGACAAACAACAAATGAGTTTTACTCTTAACAAGGGTATGTAAATAAATTTTATACGTTTTTTTTGTAATTACAAATCTTGACGTATATTTGTTCAGTTTTTCCCATGATAATAAATAATGAACAAAATCAAATAAAGGAATTGCGTGCACATTTATTTAGTTAGATATAGCATTAAAAAGTTATATGAGATCTTAATAGAAAGTCTTTTAATTCTTTGCTATTTATTCCTCTTCATTTCTCACGGTCTTTTGCTTGCAGGTTAAATTTTGCTTTTCCGTAGGCTTTTCTACTTTTTTTTCAATCTATTAAATCCGATGACCTATTTTGTTGTTCCTTGAAACAAGGATTTTTGATATCATTACTTAGAAATTTCATGTGAAATTCTCAAAAAGTAATTATCAGGTTTTGTTTTTCCTTAGAATAAGTCAAGAAGATAATAGCCTTTGGATTGCGATTCTCATAACATAAATTGGAAAACCTTGCGGGGATATGAGAACCTTTTTAGTTTTATACTTCTTTGATTTTTTTCATCTAAACTTGTAAGTCGTTTGATTAATCAACTTTTCATTATGTCTTATTGTCATGAAATATTTTGTTCGTCTTTCAGATATTAGAAAGATTAATATGTTATTTTCAATATAAAACGCCTTATTCAACGATTAAACGGTCATTTACATTGCCAATAGATTTGAGCCGTGTCACGACAAAACCAACACAATGGGTTTGCGACCAGCATGGATCCAGAACAGGCTGCGCATCCGCGCAGTCTGATCAGGATCCATGCTATCCGCTATCAGTTTCTCTACTTGTTATAGGGTTGGTAAGCGAACAACATGGATCCTGGTCAGACTGTGCGGATGCGCAGGCTGGTCTGGGCCCATGCTGGTCGCAAGGCCATTATGTAAGTTTTGTCATGACGCGGCTATCGACATCAATTAAACAAAGAATGACTTCGATTTCTTTAATTTTATAGAAATTAAAGTTTTATATGAAGGTATTCTATGAGAATTCCTTTTATCCAATATACCCACGTGTTTAGATAGATAAGTATATCTTTAATGTGAATGAAGAGTTCAGCTTTATATGAAAACACTTTTTTAAAATTTTATCTAAACGAAAATAGTCTACGTTAATTCTAGGTTATTTTATAGACAACGATGTATCGATTATCAGTTTCAGAAATGTCTAAAAACCAAACGTAAAATACAGATATAAATACATATTCAAATATTCAAATGTTTAGCAAAAATGCATTTGAAGACGAATTTTCAGTTATGATTTTTGGTGATATTTGCTTTATATCATATTTATACTTCGAACAGGAGGAAATTATCACAATAATGTATTAGTTAGATATACAAAAAGACAAAATAACCGAATATCAAATAATATTGAACAACATTGTTTTTCCTCGTTCTGCAAAATTCAACTGTGTACACCATTTATAACGTTATTGCAAGCATATGACATTTTATTTTTTCTAATATCTTGACGATGTCGCAATTCAGTCCACAGGTTTGATCTTATCAAATTGACGAAATCCAATATAGCTTGTTCTGAGATTAATACAAAGATCAACACAAACATAATGTAGCATCTGCCGAGACATTTGAAAAGGTTGAACTTGTCATTTGTGACGTTTCCTGGATATTGTAGGGCATTGAATACCTCTTTCCTTAATATTAAAAAAATCTAATTATACTGCCCAGAGATATGTACCAGTGTAACCATGGTAGTATTTGTAGTATTTTCTAAAATTATAATCACAATTTTGCCTTCCGTTACAAAGAAAGCCAATTTAAAATAATGAGTACAAAGCTAACTTGTCCTCGGAATTTCGAAACGCAGCGTGTCTGCTTGAGATTGATATTTAATGTTATGGAGTATTTTGTCCAATAAATGGCTGGAAACCTAGAACCTGATGTATATGCCAGGAATGTTAACATTTGATATATTAACAAGTATTTTTACATTCTCAAAGTCTACTATTAAATAAATTTGTAAATATCACAATTATGTACATGGTGACATCGCAATAAACGAAAATACATATATTGCTTACGTGTAATGACATAATTGATTAATTGAAAAATTAATTCATTAATTAAACTTAAGTTTTCAAAAAACAAAACAGAAAAATACAACTTAAATTACTTAATCTTAAACAATCTTAGCGGAACAGGTCAGTTAATTATGTTATTTGCCGCAGACATAGTTGGATTTTGTTTTTTGAAACAACTAAGCATTTAGTTATGATATTGAAACAAAACATCATGTTAATAGGTGATTGAATTTAAGAATTGGTTCTATCAAGTCTATTCAAGAGAAGCAAAACTCCCAGACACTACAAAACTTCCCAGACGCTACAACCATTAATAAGCCGCGTCATGACAAAACCAACATAGTGCGTTTGGGACCAGCCTGGATCCAGACCAGCCTGTGCATCCGTGCAATCTGATCAGGATCCATGCTGTTCGCTCACCAACCCTATCAAGTAGAGAAACTAATAGCGAACAGCGTGGATTCTGATCAGACTGCGAGGATGCGCAGGCTGGTCTGGATCCATGCTGGTCGCAAACGCACTATGTTGGTTTTGTCATGACGCGGCTCATTTCATGTGCGATCGGGAACCTTCGGTAGAAGCATTAGTCTTCTGTAAGGTAGCTAGATATTTTCCGCATATGGAATAATACCAAGTCTCTTGCGGGATCAAACATATTGCAATAACCACAAAGCCACAGAGAATGAAGGATAATAATAAAGCTTTTAATAAGATATTATAATTTAAAAAAAATAAGATTATTATCTCACCTGGTAAGAACGTTTAACTATTGATGAAGAAACCATCAAAACACAAAGTTCGCACAAAATTGCTAAGTATTTGATGACCATTTTGGCTGTTTTTAATCTGAAATAAACAAAGGCAAAATATTATATTATTAAAGAGAACAAAAAAGATTCACTGAAAATTGAAGAGAATCGTTTTTTTTTTCTATCATACAATGTAAGAATATCTAAAAATAAATACGACGTTTGACGACCCTTATCATTTTCACAACAAACATGAAACAAACATGAAATATCAACATAAATACGTTGGGGGAAATTTAGAAAGTTAAACCTCTCCAGCAACGTAATGAGTTATTTACTGAATTTCTGATTTTGTTTTATTGCGGACAATGACTTGATCGGATTAAAATGAGCTGACGAAATTCGTGAAAGCTTAAGTACACTTGCACCCGAGTTAGAGGAATTAGAATCAAGTTTTGTTATGAAACTCTTTATTAATCTCCAAACATCCCAGTGGTTTGTATACTTTGTTTACAGGTATTAATCTCGATTAGCGTAACAAGAAAACGACGAAGATTTTTAAAGGCACATTATGCTTCAAAAATGAATATTTTTTCCATGTTAAGAAAGGGCAAGCATACGTTTAAAATTGTTGGATAATGGTTTAGTTATGTTAGATGTTCATCACCAGAAGAAAGAAGAACTGAATGTAAACTTATTTGTCATGAAGGAAGCAAAATGTAAACAAATTAGTATTTTGACTTTCATACAAAATACAAAATCACTATAACTATAATAAATTACAAAAAACAACAGAAGAAAATGTTTCAGGTACTTGGCTAATGAGGAGATTTTGGAATCTCTAACAGGACAACAAGTTTTTGACAAATAAATTAAAAACATTTTTTGGGACATAATGTGCCTTAAATGCAGCAATTGAAATTTCGAAGGCACAGCAAAATGCGAAATCCATCTGTATACGTTTTACTATAAGCAATAATTCTTTCTAAACACACCAACTTTTAACAATTATTTTTTGCGAATTAAAAGAGAAATTCATCAGGATTGTTTATCATCAAACCAAAATTACATCTTGAAATTCAATCCGTGTGATTTTCCCATAAAATTAAATTCTCATGAAGAAATGTCACGTTTTCTTACATATATTAATGCATTAACTGAAACCTTGACGTAACATTAATTGATAACATTCTACTAAACATGGGTGATTTAATTACATTCTTTAATATTAGATTGTCTCTGCTTAATCAGTTGGGAACTTTCTCATATTTGATCTCTTTATTTCAACGGTTCAGCTTTCCCACGTCGATTTCGTTTTCAAGCAAACTGGCATCTATTACAGTGTTTAAATCAATCAATCATAAAGTTCGTGACAGGCCTTGAGAATGAATTGTTTTTCACTTGAGGGCAAGATAACATTTCAAGGCGACGCTGCTTTTTTGCACTCAATTTTGAATTCTTATCAGAAACATTCATATGATTTGTATACACATAAAAATGTTCTCAATGGACGTACTTGCAATAGTACAAAAAAGTCATGATATATAACTAAAACTCGAACGAAACAGAGGAGACAAGCATGACTTCTTTGAAGTAAGACACTGTAATTAATTAAGGGTTTCATACCTTTACTCGCTGGTATTGATGCCTAGTCCTTTTATATGGCGCTTGATGATTATGTATTTTTTTTAAAATTATGACATTGTATATTGTGTTTAATATCTTTCTAAAGGTACATTATGCTTCAAAAATGAATAAATATTTCCATTTTAGAAAGGGCAAACATATAATAAGACACATTATTCCTCAGAAACAAATAATGGTTTTAGAATATGTTAGATACTCATCACCAGAAAAAAGTAGCACTGAATTTGAAATTATTTGTCATAAAGGAGGCAAAGTGTAAACGAGGTAGTATTTTGACTGTCATACAAAATACCAAATCGCTGTTACAGTACAAAATTACAAAAGCAACAGAAGCAAAATATTTATTTAAATAAAAAAAAAACAACTATGTTTGCAATGAAATTGAAGGATGGAATTCTATATTGGGATGTCTGTAATTAGTAGGAAATTTTGTTCGTCTCATGACAAAATTTACACCAATTACCTAATTTAAAACAAATTTAATGACGTTGATCTTCGTCTGTTTTCAATACAGCAGGTGGTGCTTTTCAGAAATCAACCCTTAACCTTATGAAAATAGCAGTATATTAAGTACTTCGTCAAAGAGCATTTTAATCTTTTCTTTTTTAAATGTCTATACCTTAATAAATGGCACAATGTATTTTAGGCGTTTGACCATACTGATATAGAAACAGCGTTCTTGCGCAGGTTTTGAAATGTATGTTGTATGTATATTTTAAACATTTGTTCCTGTTTTGTTTTTAATATAATTATTTTACATTTATCACGAGTTTTCAAATGTATTATGTTCAATGATAAAAACTTTACATGGAATAAAATGACCTTATAGTCTTAATATTATTAGTCATATAATGTTCTGTATTTGTCAAGGTCAAAATGTTTTTTAATTAAATTATGGCACAGTGATGTTACTATAGGGACAATAATTATTATGAAGAGGTGTGCTTTTAATCACAAAATAGATAACAAATTTGTTATAAATTAATACACATTCTTTGTAGGTAACTCATAAATATATATTTTATCATATGAAAAAATAATAAAGAACCTTTTGATAAATTTTACTTACTTAAAATTAAGCATTCTTGTTCGAAATTTTATCTCACAACGACAATGATTTTTGGGGATTTCTCTGTAATTCAGAATTTGAAAAAGTAATGTTAACATGAAAAACCTGAAATATTACATTTTTGTACTAATCTTTGTTAACAACTTAATATAAAAAAACTTTGACTTCTTTTTTATAATAGTGTGTACAAAATTCTTAATAGTCAGACTGTTCATGAAAGATAATGGAAAGTGTTGCATTTCTCACCCTCTTTAGCACCAGTTTAAGCGGTATGTAACCTTATACACTAAAAGTATAACATTCAATGATCCAGAAGGAACAGACAAATATGGCAACACTGATATGAAAAACAAAAACAAAACACAGCTGCCACATAATACACAACGCCTTACTTGTGAGTTTTCAAAATAATGGAAAAGTGGAGGTCCCTCGGGAGTGATGGAAACAAAAACAAAAAGTTGAAAAACGCAGGTTCCGTTCTTTATTGAACAATGATCTTGAAACGATAATGGAAAGTAAAAAGATATTTACCTTGCAAAATTCCACCGGAAATTTATCAGTTATTGAATGTTTTTTTTTTTTTGAAAAATGCAAGACAATAATAACAAATATAACTTTAAATTTAAAAGTATTTTCATGAGATCATCAAACAAACAATACTTAAATAGCCAGGAATGTCTCCTTGTTGTAATAAGATATCATGCTATTTATAGGCAGTTATTTCAGATTCCTGTTTTTTAACGATCAAAAATAGCCTATTTAATATATTTTTAGACAATTTACTGTGTACAAGTAGTTTGTCAATCATCACGATTTGCAACTATATTTCTTAACAGAACTGAATCTTCTTCTTTATAACCTATAAAGGATATTCATTTTGTTTCTATAAATACATGATTTCTTTTTAGATATTATAATTTTCTTATCAAACGATTGGACTAAATCTTGTGTTTATAGAATAAAAACTTGAATTTTCTGTTTGTTTTATACTTTTTTTTCTTTTACAATTCTTTTACATTCAACCTTAAAATTCTTAAGACTTCTCCTTTAATATTTGTATTGGCCTAATTAAGAAGAAAGTTGTCCGGCAAGACACAATTGAAAATACGGAAACCACAGAAAAATGTAAAATACATTTTTACAGTGAAAATACAGAAACTGAAAATACGCATTTTATTTTTATATCATCAATATTTCTTAATATTTCATTTATAAGTATATTATTTATTGGTAATAAACGATTCATTACGTGAAATTAAACTTTTTCAGCAAACGATATCTAACTATGATCAGTTTCTTTAGACAGTTGTGTCTACTTTAGGTAATTGTGATTTCAGACAGTTGGGTATACAAATAGTTCTTAACATAATCATCATATTAGGAACGATTTGTATAGACAACTGTCTAAGATTGATTGCTATCCCTTTTTTGTTTCCTAATGCCTCAGGAGCAAACACTTAGCAAATAGTTTAGGCCTCTATTACTGCATTAGTCAATGGATTTATAGACAAATATAGGCTGAGTAAATTTAAAAAAAAGGCTTCAGCGAAATTGATATGCTCCATTAAAGGTGCATTTACTGTTTGTCTTATGTATTTTCTATCATGTAAATGATTTATTTCTATACAATTAAGACGACAAGATCTTTGTATTTTTCACGATAACGAGAAAAAAGAACTATATAAAAACAGAACCGTTTTACAAAGTCATTGCTCAGTTACTATAAATTCTACAATCAAATACAAATTTATATTTGGGTTTATTTATGAAAGATGCTGAACCTGTCTCATTTAAGCATTAAAGAAATGATTTATTGCAACATAAATGATTTAGACCATATATGTTACAATAATCGAAATTGAACAGCAAATGAAACGGTTATGAACAACCCGTACGTTCATCAATGGCATAAAAAGCAAACTTATTCTTTATAGCAGCACCTGACTAATGCTATTACTATGATTTTTTAAAGATGTATAAAAAGTAAACTATCGACAGGCAAGCAAGGAAAATAATTAACACATTGAAAAAGGCACTTGAACTTTACGAAAATAACCTGATATAGGTCAGAATAGGTAAGAATAGCCCTAACTTCCTAAGCCACGCAGTAGAAATATGGTGATAACTACTCTAAAATCAGTGGTTGGACTCATACAAAATGTAAATTATTACTTGAATCTATTTTTTTTTACTTTTCTTAAAATCTAAGTACACTTTTCTCAAGACAGATTTTTTCGACTATTTTATTAATATTTCTTTGCCAATAAGCATGCAGCTGAAATAATATTTGTTTTCTATGAATCGATATTATTTAGTACCACACATAGAATAATTATCAAATTCAAATCGAAACTGTATTAGACAAATATTCGACAGCAAAG